GGGGGGGGGGGGGGGGGGGGGGGGGGGGGGGGGGGGGGGGGGGGGGGGGGGACCTCCCTTACACCCCGACACCCGGGAGATGGAGTCATGGCCTGTCTGGTCCATGAAGCACTTCACAATAAATGGAAGAGCCACACCGACTGGCCAGGGCAGCTGTGTTTCTGACTGGCTGAAATGCTCCAAAACTATATTTTATCAACAACTGTATTTGTAACACTTTGGGCGACAGTAACCAACACTGTACTTTCAACTGAACAGATAAACAGATAAAATTATCAAGTTGGCCACATCTTTGGGCTCTTGCTACGAGTCTCGCAGTCAAACCCGTCCCGTCACAACCAAGATCCTACTGCCCCCGTTTCCTGGAGCATGCCTCACCCTGCCGCCTCACCCCACCCTGCCGCCTCACCCCACCCCGCCGCCTCACCCCGCTGCCTCGCCCCGTTGCCCCACCTCACCCCTCCCCGCCGCCTCACCCCGCCGCCTCACCCCGCCCCCTCGCCCTGCCCCACCCACCTCGCCCCACCCGGCCGCTGACGTCTCCCCAGTCAGACTCCTGCCGTATGAAGACTCACTCAGACACCCAGCAATCGGCAATCTGGGGGATGAGAATGACCTCGATATCGCTCATTTTCGTTTCCCAAAACAGTCCAGAATGCGCTTAAGTAGACAAACATGTGTCAGAGCGTGGTGTCCAGTTCATTAGCGCAGGTACTTAAAATACGCCGTAATCGAAGAAGTGTCCCGGCCGCTTAGTGCCACTGTGCCAGCGATGTCACCGCGATGTCACTGTAGTGAAGGGGGTTAGGTGCTGTTTACACACTACGTATAAATTTGCCATTAGCCAACTCAGATTTCCCTGCTGGTTGTTGGTGATGTTGGTGTCCTCAAAGCGTGGGGGGTGGGGGGGGTGGGAAAGGGGGGCCCTAGACAATTTCCAGAAAGCATGTATAAAATTTTAAGAATGTGACAGAGTCCATTTTAACCATACCCTGCTAACGTACCCTAATGGCGAGGGACTACTACTGTGGGGGACAAGCGCGTGCCCCCCCCCCCCCACCAGTTGCCGAAACAGAGGCCGCGGGTCTCTAACACTAACTGTGGAGGTCGTGGGCTGCAGTTTGAGAAGCCACACCCCCAAGTAACTGTCAGGTGGCCTTACGCTGTATGACTGTACCTTTTGCATCACACTGCATTTATTAATTGCAGACATTATTCATTTCATTATTCTGACACTTATAACTCATAACACTCCAAGAAGTTTGTGGCAAACTATTAGTACATCATTTATATAAAATGATGCATGAAACAGGGAAGAGAGAGAGAGAGAGAGAAAGGAGAAAAGAAAAGAAAAAAAGAGACAGACAGATGAACCAAAAACTCAAGTAAGGAGAAAATAAACCTCTGGGGGTCCAAGATGAACCCCCCCCCCCCCCCGGCATGCTAACATTGTAGGATGAGGCTACTTTAATAAAAGCCAGGTGTGCACTGTGTGACAGTCAGGGTCCATCGGAAAGCCAGCTCTCCCAGCAGGTCAGCGTACGCCAGCAGACTCTAGGCTGCTCCAACGGCATCTCCGCTCATAAGATGATGCATTACGTATTTATCCTGACTTGTGTAGTTATAAAACTTGCTGCATGTCCCCATACCTGCCACGGAAAGTAATTTCCCTGCTTAGGACCCAGAAGGTACCTCTCCCTACCCACACACCGTTTACGGTGACATCCAGAGCAGAGGGGGGGGGGGGGGGAGCAAACATACCACAAAGCTGTACTCCCTCTCGGTCCTGCCGCGTGACACCCCCCTCAGCACGATCTTCTCGATGTACACGGCTGAAGGCACATGGAGAGAAGAGGGAGGAAACACACACAGGGGGTCAGGGATGAGAGCCGGCATGTCTACAGGCAGCCTCAATATTCAGGTACCATGTGGGACGTGCTGCATCGCTCTACAGTGACGGCGTCAAACAGGCGGGGATGCACTGCTTCACTGTATGGTGATGGTGCCTTGCAGGAGGGGAAGTGCTGTTTCACTGTACAGTGACGGTATCCCATGAGCAGGGATATGTTGTTTCACCATACAGTGACAGTGCCCCGTGGTTGGGGACATGCAGTTTCACTGTACAGTGACAGTGCCCCGTGGGTGGATGTGAAGTTTCACTGTACAGTGACAGTGCCCTGTGGGTGGGGATGTGCTGCTTCACCACATGATGACAGTGCCTACTAGGCAAGGGCTTTACCTTCTTTTTGGTAGCTCCTTGCCGGAGGCTGGCCAGGTCTGGGTGACTGAGCTCTACTGGTCATTCTGGTCTCAGTGCCGGAGGAGAGGTAATCCCGTTTTGGAAGCTTATTCTGTAGAGGAAAGGGGAGGGGGGGTGGGGGGGGAATACGTCAGAGTCACACGGCTGATCAGATAGAGTAACACGCGTCAAACCTGGAAGCGGGGGGGCGACCACAACAGTCAGGAGACTGGAAAGAGACCCTCGTAAGCCCACCTCTCTCGGGGGGGGGACATGCTTCTAGAAACATCCCCCATGCTCATTAGAGTGAAAAAAACAATCAGATCTGACAGCAGTGGGACAGCAGGTCAGCACAGGGCAACTTCTGCCCAAAGGGTGTCACGTACGGGGGAGCCAGGCGACCCCAGAAGCAGCAGACTCTCTCTCGGAGGGGCAGAGGGGGTTGGGGGTCGCCTCTATTCACAGGAGCAGGATTAAGCAGAGGACAGTAGTGTGCTTACGGGCCCTTTAAGCACAGCAGGGGGGATTAGGCTACAGACAGTCCCCACCACAGTCAATCGCCCACACTGATGACTGCTGCTGACGTGACTGCAGGGAAAGGCGGCCAACGGCCACCCATCCAGCACTAGTCTCCTGGCCGGCCACCACGCAGCCAGTCGCTCTGTGATCTCTGTGATCTCCACACAGCATCTGTACCAGCCTGAGACAGACCAAAAGAGGCTGAATAACTCAAGCTATGGTTAACGTGATGTGCAACCACACCTAAGATGCACACGAGGACTTCCACTATGCAGTTACATCTACGACAGAAGGTTACAAGCCACAGCCCAAAGTCAACAATCTTCATGTGCGACAACTCCTCGTTATGCAGACAGCGATTAGCAAACCTGTTCTGGCTTAGCTCACAAAGTCATATCAAATGTATAGCCAAAGGGCTAAATTAACTAAATAACCCACCAATACAAACAGACAAAAAAAATAGTTGTGTTTACTTAAACACCAATCAACAGTTCAATTATTAAATAGAACCATGTCAGATTCCTGAATTATACATGCCATAGTTTTGATCTTCATTGATATTGAACATAAGTTCACGGACGTCAGTGATTAGCGACTGACATAAGCAGTCATCAGGGGTGTTTCCATAATCCACCCTTTACCAAACGCCCTGTGGTTTGTCAGCTTCTGGCTGACAGACAGGAAATAAGCGGAAACTACTGGAAAATACAGAACCAGCAGGGACATCACAGTGAAATGGATGGACGTTGAGAATCAATTCCAGACCAACAATAGATGAGAACAGCAGCCCCCTATTTAGGAGTAAAGTGCTAACTACCAAACACAGAGTAGAGCATGGACCTGGGGCATCCTGAATAGAGATGAAGGTGGAGAGAAAGAGGAGAGTGACAGGCACAAACCATCCACAGCAGAGCAGCGCTAATGTGGATGACATTAAGCAGGGTAAGGAGACGGCGGATGCAGCCGAAGGGGCCTTACAGCAGACGGTCATTAGAGGAAGCAGCAGGGAAAGTGTTCCAGAAAATGCATCACAAACGGGCGTCAGCTAGAATACTCCAGAGATGAGCTCAGGAAGACGACTCAAACGGCCAGCGACGATAAATACAAATGACAACATCTCACTTTGGGGGCTGGAGGACGCCGGCAGAGAGTACGTGAGAATGGCCTGCTTCCCCGAGAAAACATCCGGCGGAGACCCACAGCCCCCACAGAGTAACTACATTTACAAACGGAAAGTCCAGTTATTCGGAATAAGATGTAGTGCCTGAGACTTGATAGCACTGACACAAAACTATCAGGAAAGTATGAATACCCCCCAGTTTCAGACTTCTAACCTACCCTTACATATTTTTGCTCTGGGCGTTTTTAGCTAGTTGGTCACATATTACATGTTTATTATCAAGTCACCTGACATTTGGGTTTCGGTATTAACACCTTACCACAAAAAAATACAGGTATAGAGCTTAACCGAATCTGGCATGAGCAGTATTGCACATACTGGTCATAACAGAAGAACCAGCAACAATGGATGAAGAACTGTTCTTGCCGAACGCTATCTAAAGATACCAAGGTGCAGATTCTGTCCCTTTCCAGAGGAACCCCTGCCGAAAATAGCCACCTCCGGAATACTTGCATTTTAAATAATCAGGAATGAAATTCGCAGGGCGGCACCCATTCTCACAGACCGCGATCGTCATTGGTTGAGCGTTCAAGTGACACTTTGATGTTTCGACCCAGGCCTTCTCCCGTGAGCTGTCAATCGCGCAGAAGCTTTGCACTGATTGGCCCGACTCACAAAAATGCTAACGCCCATTATTTAAATTGCAATCTCGGATTGACTGGCCGCCCACACGAGAGAAGCCCTGCGAAAGCCAAACGGGAGTATCATTATTTAATATTGATTTTCGCATAAATACATAATAAACCAGTCAACAAGGGATTTGGCATTTTTAAATTTGCCTTAATCTGGCCTAAATCCCGCCGATCGTGGCAGCTACGGCCGGCCAGAACCCCCAGGGCAGAGCCACCCGCCGATGTAGGCATTCCCGAAATACCCATTAAGCCCCGTGTAAGGCAGAGACACCTCACTGGGCACGGGGCAGTCACCGGATATACCCCAGGCCTACCCCAGTGCTACCCACCACAGGCTGGCAATGACGTTTCATAATCGATCTGACACCCTGCGAGCCGGTTACAGCCCCGCTAAAGGCGATGCGGAGCGCAGCATTACGCGGCCACTAGCCCGCATGCCCAAACGTGTCAGACATAGCGGAGCGGCGATCGCCCATTACCCGAGCGTTGGCACCCTGCTGGCGGTCTCTCCGCTCCTCTTCCATCACTTTCTCCACTTTATCCAGCTGAACCCTGATAGTCTCCCTCTGGTGAAACGGGAACGCCGGGTGCAGGGAGGCCATGGTAAAAAGCAGCGCCAGCTGCTCCGGAGCACCGTACCCCGCCTCCGGCTTAGGCCCGCAGCAGGGCTCCGCTCTGCCCGAGTCGGCGCCGCTGCCGTCGTCGCACGAAGGACGAATGTGGGAATGCTGGGAGTCCCGGCAGGACGGCACGGTGAGGCCGTAGCTTTTGCAGCTCAGCGCCGCATCCACATGGCTCAAAATGCGAAAGAGTATCCCGGCGCACTCCCGGTTCTCAGATCCCAAGAGGGAGAGGGAGACCAGCAGCTTGGAGCGCACCACCGGGTCGCCGATGTCCGCCAGGAGGCCCAGCTCGCCCAGGCTGTTCGCCCTGATCTCGAAGTCCCGGAGGACGTGAAAGTCCTTCCGCGCCAGGTCCTCCAGACAAGAGCCCAAGAATCGGAGTTCCAGCGGCTGGCACATGTGCAGCAGACCGCACATGAACTCGATCCGCCTGGCTGGACTCAGGTGCAAGCCGAACCACTCGAAGACCGCCTCCTTATCCAGCTGGAGCAAGGGGCATGCCAGCCTTCGTGCGGCGTCCTCCGACCTGTTGGAAGGCGTGTGCGGAGCGGACCCGGGGATGTGCAGACCACCGCCGGTCACATCCTGCACGTTCTCGGCCGCGTTCCCCGCTCCTTCCTCCGCCGTTCTCCCGGGCAGCTTCATTTTAAGCATTATCAACTCTGCGGGATCGCCAATAAAGCGACTATCAAGAATATAAGCACATCATTCGCACTACTCTCTCCTTTGTATCACAGAGCTAAATCGACGGGAAAGTTTTTTTTTTTTTCCCCCCGACAACTGGTACCCAAAAAAATCACAGTGACACTCGGCGTTATGGCTATAGCCAGCTTACTAGTTTACTCGATCAGGGAGTCTGCTTTGCTTTCCAAATTCACGTCAATCGAGGAAGCGGCTCCTCCCCTTTCTATCTGAACCGCCGGGTCCTAAACAACCCTCAGTGCGCAAAGTGCCTAAACTACCCCTTTTGCGTAGTACATGTGCGCAAACTACCCTGAGTTAATAATCTAGGCTGCCAACGTAAAGTGCGTAAAGTACCCCGGGTGCTCAACGCACGTAATCTAGCCTGAATACGTAGTCTGTTAACTATCCCGAATGCGTAACCCATATTGCGTAGTACTCTAAATACGTACTCCCAAAGCGCGTAGTCCATAGGTACTGTGGGTCAGAGTACATAGATTTTATGCTAAACTGTATAAAATGGATGCCCTGGACTGATGTGAAAAAGTAATTAGATTTAATTAAGTCTCTGTTATAAACACAAACGCGCTACAATACAAAGCAGTAACAACTTGACGATTGTGGTCGTAATCCGTGTTGTTCTTGAAATAATTGAATCGATGAGCTCTCCGTTTTAATTTCACGTGAAGAAATACTATCTGTTTATTAGAACTATAAGTGGAAAAACATGAAATGGGAGAAATTTTGAGTTCTCAGAGCGCCCAGTCCTCATTAATTTTAAAGAGAAGGCAATAATTAAGGTATAAAGCTAGAAAATTCAGAATGAAATATCAGTGTCTCCATTTGCAGGACTGTGTTATAACAGTAACGTAAGTAATAGTGAGAGCATTCTTCTAATTATGATAGCGTTAACATACACTGCCATCTGCTGGCAATCAATGATTAAACTAGAATAGAATACATTAGAAGAGTAGATTGTCTTTATATTGTCATTGCACATTTTTTGCACAATGAAATTTGCAGAGCAGTTCCAAGGATGTGCATCGATCTAGTCACCATATAATGTCACGACATAAGAAAACAAAACACACATTTAAATGAAAAGAACAACCTGTATACTGTATTGGGCTGAATGTAAGACGACCCCCCACTTTTTGGCAACTATTTTTAGAAAAAAGTTTTACCAAATCTCTCTCTCACACACACACACACACACACACAAACAAAGTTCGCACTGTTTATTGATGTTGGTCTATTGAGTAGATTTATGAAAAGCATGTTAGGAGAAGATCAGCTGACAGGAACATGCAGGGGTGTCGGGGTGCGTCCTTATGCATAAGTGTATGCACCGTTTTCAAGTCTAGCTGCACTGAAACTGAATCTGCGAAGCTTGCTCAGATAACAACTTTAGGTCCATTGTGTGTATTATCAAAAAAAATTATGATATGATCATCTAAGACAAAGATACAGGGGGGGTGCCATTTACGGCAGGGTACCTGCCGGGAAATGCACCCCCTTTGAATTTTGCTGGAAAATGGACATCCAATTGTATAGGTTCCCCTGAATCACAGTGTTTTATGGAGTGACCGACAGTTAGACAGATACAGAGGGCTGCTTTATGTCAGGATTCCTTTTTCAAGTAATGTAAATATCAGTTGCTAAACTTGTATGTTTTGGTACCAAGTTTGCATCATGATTAGTAGTTTAAATTACAGTTTGAACGCCAATGAACTTGAATGCCAAAAAAATAGAATGTGTTGCCTAATGCCAAAACATGTAAGAAACTGTACCTACACGTACACATATACCACAACTTAATGTTCTAGTTGTAATTAATCATTTCAACATTGCATTTATACTACAATTATTACTATGTACATACATACACTTACATAATTACATGTTTATCATCATTACTGCTACTGTTAAAATTAATTACCATATAATTATCGCATTACCAATTGCCAATCTAGTGTTTATTACTTTTCTATACATACCTTTGCTAATTGTTGTATGTTCTTTGTAATGTCATATAAAAGCACCACCAAGGCAAATTCCTCGTATGGATACATATTGTATTTGGCTAATAAAAAGGATTCTGATTCTGATACAGATTATGAACCAGATCTTGCTGATGTCAAGTGAGCATCAAAATTGGATATAATGTAGAAACTCAATTTAATGTTCTAGTTGTAATTAATCATTTCAACATTGCATTTTTCCTATAGATATCATCTGAGATTCAATAGGCAAATTATTTTGAGAAGGCATAAAAACTTTAATAACAATTACAATTAACAATTACAATGATGACTACAAACTAAAGGCCTAAAAATAACAAAAATTGAATCATTGTATTGGAAATTCAAATTGGAAAATGAAAAGTCAAACTGGAAAATGAAAAGACAAAAAGGGTTTTTAATTTTATTTTTTTAATTTTTCACATCTGACTCACGAGTGGAAAATTGAAATGCAAATGGTGCCATTTCATTTTAATTTTTGCAGGATTTTTGCGCAGATATTGGGAACGAAATGGCAAAGTGGAGATTGTATTTTCTTTTTATCATTTTCATTTTATTTTTTGCAGAAAATACCTCCCATACAGCAAACAGTCACTCTTAAAAGGATAATTACTGGGTTAAATACTCAATACATAAAACATTCCCCGATAAACCACCCACTTTCCACACTAAACCATAGTAGATATCCCTCCTCAATTTCCCCACACACTCACTCTCTCTCTCACACACACACAGACACACAATTTATTTAACAAGATTAAAACTAGTGATGTGTGATACCGATGATTTCCTTTCCGATCCGATACCAAGTAAAATTCAGGTTGGTGTTGACGATACTGATCTGATACCGATACTTTGTACAAAAACTTAAGGTGTTTGGAAAATCAAAATAAAAGTGTATTTCAAATTACAGCTTCATAATGAATACAATAAACATGTTCTTATTGTTATGAAGAATTATCATACAAGTAAAAACTGAAAAGTTACATGTTAATTATGCTATTTGAACATGTATATCTTACCATTTAACATGTAAATACTTGCCTGAACATTTCAACAAAAAACTTCACACTTTCCCCCATTCCCAGGCTTTTGTTTAGGAACAACAGCATATTTACATTTTTCCCTTTAAGTCTCCTGGCTTTGAAAATATTCTCTCTGCAGGTACAGAAGAAGCAACAATTCTCAGATAACTCATTGCAAGTCTGCTTAGGGCTGGGAAGGTTTTTTCATGCTCTTGCCACAAAACCAGTGGATCCTTATCTCAGGGAATCAATTTTTCCTCTGAGTACCAGCGTATTTCAATGAGTACATTATTAGCAGCTGATTGTTAGCACCAGTGATGTTGGCCTGACAAAACCTGCATGTCAAAATCTGACCAGGACTCCGGTTAGACCCTGAAGTAGAAAGCCCTGATGTAGAGCTAACAGTAGGTGTTGAGCTTAGAGTTAGAGTGGGAGCTGACTGTCCTGTCTGATAGACTTCCTGCATTTCAGTGTGGAGATGTTTTTTCATTACCTCAACATTGTCTTTGTCACGAAAACAAAGGTGCCTAAAGCTAACATCCAGAAATGTACTGGCAGCTAGACAGTGAATGCTCTCAATACCCCTGAATCTGCACTGGCTAGGGAGCTGCCCTGACATTCACAGGCTGCTACAGCCCTGTGAATGAGCGACACGAGTGGAATCACTTTGGAGACTGAAACATGTTTTTCAGAGGAAAGTTCCCGTGTTACTTCTTCAAACGGCCGTAGTGCATCAACTGTTTGCTTGATGAGGGATAATTCTCCCACATTTTCCCCCAAAAGTCAGAGGGCTATGGTCACAGCTTCATTTTGCTCACAGAGCCTCCCCAGAATGTAAAAGACAGAGCTCCAGCGGGTATCTACTGACTGAATTAGCTTGTGTTCTGCCACTTTCAGCTGTTGTTGAATATCCCCAAGCTTCTCTGTGGCCTTTGTGCTGTGGTGAAAAAAGGATACAATCGCACTGCATTTATCCATGGATGATGCCTCCATCCAACCATATTTGCACCATTGTCTGTCACAACTGCAACCACCTTCTCAGTTATGCCCCATTCTTCTGTGATTTGCTTAAGCACTAAGGTGATATTATCTGCTGTATGCTGCCCATGGAAAGTGTGGGTTTCCAAAACAAATTCCCTCATTTGCCAGTTTTCAACAAGATGACATGTTACGGTCAAATATGCCTCTGTGGATACTGAGGTCCACGTATCAGTGGTAAGTACGACCCTAGAAGCATTTTGCAAAGATGCCCTTACTTTGCCTTTGCATTCATCAAACATATTTACAAGATGAGACTGTCAGTTTTTTTCCTTCCTGGGAGTTTATATTTTAGGTCAAGAGCCCTCACTAAGCTCTGGAGACCTTGGTTCTCCACTATGGACAGAGGCTGGAGGTCCTTCACAATCATCTCTGCCAGGCATCTTGTGAGCGTTGCTGCTCTTGGGGAATCATCTACAAACAATATAAAATACACAGGGGCAAAACAAATGATAGGGCTGCATTGCACGGAATGCTTAATCTTATTTAGATTCAGCTATGTATGCAGACTGTCAAAATAGCCTACACTAAGGGGGAGCTGATAGTTTACATACACCTAGACTTAAACTGAAATTGCTAGTAAAAAACACAATTAAATAAACAAATGCCACAATAATTGCATAAGTTTGTCAGTACCTACATTAAAAAATATTCATATCTGTCAAAACAAATACGCCTAATTGAAAATAATACAACTGAGAAATATTGTATAGATATGATGTTATCTGTCTTATCTATGAAATATTTTTCAGTATTTAATTTTTTTTAAAGCCCACAATGGCTGTATAATTGCAAGTACTCTATATATTTTACTGATTGTTGTATTGTTGATATATTTATTCATGTGTTATTTTTAGCTACGTTTTAAGGAATAATAAAGCATATAGCAGGATGAATGTAAGCTAGCCATACTGTTAGGAGTAGACAGGCGCATACCGGGCAAGCTTACATTCATCCTGCTATATTCTATGTTCTATTAAAGTTTAATGACCCCTCCCCCCCAAACCATATGGCCCCCTTAAATGCAACACGTGGCGCAAGCATATCTGGGTATAACCCCTGGACTAATCAGAATAAAGGGATACACCCCCTCCTGCTTATGACGTAATCGGCGAGAAACCCATCTACTGGTAA